TTCAAAGCCAGCCTGGTCTACATAGTGAGTTCCAGGCTAGCTGGGGCTACAGGGAGACCCTGTCTTTAAACAACCAATAAAAGATGCTGGGCATGGTGGCGCACACCTATAGTCCCAGTACTCGGGAAGCAGAGGGAGGCGGATCTCTTTGAGATCGAGGCCAGCCTGGTCTACATGGTGAGTTCCAGATCAGCTGAGGCTGCAGGGAGACCCTGTCTCAAAAAGCAAAAACAAAAACAAAAACAAAACAGTAAAAGAAAGACATGAAAAATTTTAAATCATTTTTAGTGACAAGACTAATCTCCAAGAACTTAAGCACTCTCTACGATTTGTCTTTTAATTTATTTATATAGTTTTGTTTTTTATATTTTACTTATTATTTTTATCTTATGGGTATGAGTGTATTGCTTGCATGTATGTAAGTGTGCCCATGTCATGCAATGCCCATGGAGGTCAGAGGGTGTCACATCCCCTGGAACTGCAGTTATGGATGGTTGTTAGCCCCCATATAGGTGCTGCAAATCAAATCCAGGTCCTCTGCAAGAACAGCCAGTGCTTTTAACTGCTGAGCCATCTCTCCAGACCTTTAAAGATTTTTTATTATGTGTATGTATGTCGGGGTGGGGGCGGTTGACACATGAGTGCAGGTACCCACCTCAGCCAGAGGTGTCGGATCCTTTGGAACTGAAGTTAACAGCTCATTGTGAGTTGCCTAATGTGGGTACTGGGAAGTGAACTTGAGTCCTCTGTGAGAACATCAAGCGCTCTTAACTGATGAGCCATCTATGTCCCCCAGCCCCAAAAATACATCTTTAAAAAAAAAAACAACAAAGACTATGACTAAGAAATGTGCAGGGGATGAAACAAGAGCCAAAATTCCAACAAACCCCCAGAGCCGCCCTGATGGGAAAAGTTGTTGCAAGTCAGGACATCCTGGGGAAAATGGTACTCTGTAAAGCAGAGTATTTCTGGCTGAGAGAATAGCTAGTGGTATAGTGCTAGCATGAGGCCCTGGGTTCAGTCCCCACCACCACCACTACCACTGCCGGGTGTGGTTGTGCATGCCTTTATTCCCAGCACTCAGGAGGCAGAGACAGGCGGATCTCTTGTGAGTTCAAGACCAGCCTGGTCTACATAGTGAACACCAGGCCTGCTGAGGCTACAGGGAGACCCTGTCTCCAAAAGACTTAAAAAAAATACACATAAATAAAAATTTAATTCCCTTTATTAAAATAACTGTCTTTTCTCAATTAGTCCATGATTGATACATATGGACTAATGTGTATTTTCTAGCCAATATTAGTATTGATTTCCCCTATATCCGGAAAGGATTATGGGCTGGAGAGATAGCTCAGCAGTTAAGAGAATTTGCTGCTTTTCTAGAGGACTTGGGTTCAATTCCCAGCACCCACATGGTGTCCAGCAACTATTTATAGTTCCATTTCCAAGGGACTCTGACACCATCTGGCCTCCGAAGGTACCACAAACATGTGGTGCACTTACATACATGCAGGCAAAACACTTGCACAATCAATCAATCAATAGAAATATCTTCCTTTAATCACCAGAAAACTTTGAAATTAGAGTTCACAGACAGTTACAGGCAAGCATTTTTGGGTGTGTATGTGGTACTGAGGATTGAGCCGAAGGCCTTATACATGCGAGGCATGCTAGACAAGCACTCCGCCAGTGGGCAACATAGCCAGCCCCTCAAATGCATTATAGAAGGAGCACTGACAAGGGAGGTCCTCATTAAAGCCTAGCTCAGTCATTAGGGTCCATTTCTTCTCTCAGCATCAGTTTAAGTATATACAGCAATGATGGTTCCTACCTCCCTCCCTCCAAGAAAAAAATTGTTCCAGCCAGACATGGTGGAGCATGCCTTTAATCCCAACACTCAGGAGGGAGAGATAGGTGATCTCTGAGTTTGAGTCCAGCTTGAGCTACATAGTGAGGCCTGTCTCTAAAGACAAAAAAAAAAAAAAGCTCCATGCACACCCATAATCCCACATTTGCAATCACAGGTTCACGTCCAGCCTTGACTATATAGCAAGACTCTCTCAAAAACACAAAAGTTGGGGCTGTTAGATGGCTCAGTGGGTAGAGGCACTAGCCACCAAGTTTGACAACCTGATTTCCGTCTTTGGACCCACATGGTAGAAGGAGAGAACCCACTCCCACAAGCTGTCCTCTGACTTCCACAGGCACCGTGGCATGTGTGTATACGCACACACACTAAACAAATGTAAAAATTGATTTCATGAATGGTCCAAGTGACAGCATAGACATGCAGTCCATGGTTGCCAGGCAGTGGAGGAGTGGCTAGCTTAGTGGCAGGTCTTTTGGAGCATACGGACCACTACATCATTCACTCCCAAGGCTTTCCCTCTGGACCCTCCTCTTCCTCAGCCTTCCTCACTGTTCAGCTGCTCTCAGCACACAAACCCTGGATCGCTCTTAACCCCCAGCCATTCTTGAACCTCATGTCACTCTACATTCAAGACACCAAGTTAGATCATTCTTTCTGTTTAAAAAAAAAAAAAATCTGTTAATTAGCTTACACACTCTCCTCTAATTTTAGCCTGCTTCCTTTTTTCTTTCGGTGCTTGGCACTTACCCGGTGCCGTTACATATTATTTGTTTTTTACTTATTTCCTACCCTTCCCACTGGGATGCTGCATTTTTTGCAAAATTATTTGTCCTGCTCAGCATCGTCTCGTTTTTTTTTTTTTTTTTTTTTTTTTTTTTCAGTACCTCCTCTTTTTTTCTGCCAGGGGAGGGGGCAGGATGTAGGGGACAAGTTATGTGTTTATTTAGGGGGTTATTTATTGATTTTTTTATGTTTTCATTTTTGTTTTATTGAGACGGGCTCACTATGTAGCCCTGGCTAGCCTGGAACTTTGTATGTAGACGAAGCTGGCCTCACTCTCATGGGATCACCTGCCTCTGCCTCCCAAGTGCTGGGATTAAGGGTGTGTGCCACCACACCTCACCCTATTTTTAGTTTGGGTTTTTTTTTTTTTTTTAATTGCTGTTGGGATTTTGTTTTTCTTTGTTTTTATTTCTGTTTTTTGAGACTGTCTCCCCATATCCCCAGCTGGCCTAGAACTTGCCTTGTAACTCAGGCTTGTCTAAAACTTGCAGTGATCCTTCTGCCTAGGCCTCCACAGTGCTGAGATAACAGGTGTGCCCCGCCCACACCAGGCTATTGTTTTTTATCTTTTTTTTTTCCAAGTCTGGACAGGTTAGTCCTAGAAAGAAATTTAAAGTTAAAACACCTAAGCTTTGCTTGATTTTAGCCAAAAAGCTGAGATGCAACAAAACAGCTAATCTCAAATCCTGTCTACACTGTACACTAGCTGAACCTCTGATAAGTCTCTAACTCTCTGGGCCAAGATTTTCTTGTCTACACAAGGGGTGTATGACTTGGCTATCTGTCTTAAGCTTGACATTTATTGTAAAGATGGAGAGAGATGAGTCCCTTTCTCCCTCACCCTGTTGGGGTCTGGATTCTCCTGGCTAGTTTCTCCTGACCACTCCTGTTGTAAATTGAGAAATATCCTTATCTTCCTGTCCAACCCTAAGACTAGAAGGCATAGAGCTATTACGCAGTTAACTGCACACTGTCTCTCAAGCCTTCCTGGACACCAGTGGAAGCACACTCACAGAAACCCAAGCAGCCTCTTACCCACCTCTTGATTCGTAACAACTGAGACATTGCCTGTAAGTCCATCATCAGCCCTGTGGCTGACAAGATACAGAGATGCCTCCCCTCCCCTGTGAAGCTGTTGAAATAGGATGAGGAAGGACAGTGGCTTATAACAAGCCTAAGAAAAGGACATTGTTGTCTGGAAGGAAAGAAATCACCTAAAGGTTCTGAAAGCGGGTATCTCAGTCACAAACTCCATTCACTTGAAAAACAAAAACTCTTCCTCACAGAGTGGTGTTGGTAGAGAGCAAAATGAACCAAGTGGGGGAGGATTCAGAGGGGAGCACTGTGTTCCCACGGTTGAATCATAGGAACTAGTAGGAAAGGACAGCTTAGCTCCTGGTCTACAGGAAGGAGGAGGGATTATATTTCAGTACTCTCCTTTGCTGGTCGCTGTCAGGTCACCGTGATGGAACTGGAGGCTGGCAGCACTGGCTACTATTTATTTTTAACTGCCCACATATAGTTTATGGGCTGTGATATATCTTTGGCCTTCCTCAGATATTTGTCACATATTTGTGTTTTTAGTACCATGCTGATTTTCCATAGCTGCTCTTCATTTTATTAGCTGGTACTAAAAGATGCACAATGCTGAGTGTACTGATGAACAAGGAGATAGATTTCAAGGATCTGAAGGAAGGCACTGTGGTCCACCAGCGCTTGATGAATCTCAATTGAGTTTGCTTGGGGAATGCATGATAATTAGAATTAGATTTTTTTTCAATTGACTTCAGGCTGGAAGAATCACTCAGTGGTAAAGCTCTTGCCTAGCATGTAGAGGCCCTGGGTTCAATCACCTGTGCTAGAAAGAATGAACAAAAGGAAAAAGGATGGAAAGGGAAAGGAACCTCTTTCTCAGTGCTGGAGAGATGGTGCAATGCTTAAGAGCACTTGCTACTCTCCCAGGGGATTTGAGTTTGGTTCCCAGCACTCATGTTGGGGGGCCCACAACTACCTGTAGCTCTAGAGGATCCAACATCCTCTTCTAGCCTCTATTGGTACCTACACCCACATGCATATACACACACATATACATAAATAAAATAAATCTGTCTAGGACTGGAGAGATGTCTCAGCCGTTAAGAGCACTGACTGCTTTTACAGAGGACCCGGGTTCAAATCCCAGTACCCACATGGCAGCTGATGGTCATCCATAATTCCAGTTCCACGGGATCTGATGCGTTCTTCTGACCCCCTGGCCATTGCATGACACGGATGCACTTACACACATGCAGGCAATATGCTCATACACATAAAATAAAAAGAAGGAATCTCTCTTTGGGCTTTCTAGACTAGAGAAGAAGACAGGAACCAGGATGGGAAGATGGACATGTTGCATTTTCGACTTGAACTTCCCCTGCAGTCCACAGAGCACATTCTTGGCATACAACTCATCCTGACCTTCTCCTATGAACTGCACGTGAGTCAGTCCTCTTTAAGACCTCTCTTTTTCCTCCTCCAGTGGAACAGAAACCTCCTGTTTTCTAGGGAAAACCATGCTGTAGAAGGCTCTTTTCTGGAGTATTGTGGGGAATTTAACATACACAAATGGAATGTTTTTCATTGGGGTCATATTAAATTATTTGATTAACTTTTAGTAGGTCAGAGGGTGCTGGGGAGAAGAGTTCCTGAGTGGGCTAGCCCAGGTATGCCAGGCCCGTCAGTGTCAGCTGCAGACAGGTGACTCCTGAGCCCTTCAGACCCAACAGTGGCATCTCTCTTTCTGATGATTCCAGAGGATGTCAACATTCGTGATGCAGAGCATGGCATTTCTCCAGTCCTCCTTTGCCGTTCCCGGGTCACAGTTACATGTGAATGGTGACCTGAGGTTGCAACAGAAGCAGCCCCTGAGCTACAGTGGCCTAGATGTCCGATACAACGTAAGCACGCTTCCTGCCCCCTGCTTTTTTCTGTGTATCACATTCTTTTAATTTTATGTGTATGAGTGTTTCGACTGCATGTGTGCAAGTGCACCTGTACCTGCAATGCCCTCAAGGACCAGAAGAGGGCATTGAATCCCCTGGCGCTGGAATGGCAGACAGTTGTGAACTGCCATGTGGGTGCTGGGAACTGAGCCCTTCTCCAACCCCCTGAATCACACACATTCTTTGAAGAAAGAGAAATTGAACTTAGAATTTCCCCAGTAGGTGGCATAGACTAGGAATCCTGAAGAATTCTTATCATGAATTCTTTGAAAGTATAGAAAAGGATAAGCCAGGCATGGTGGTACACGCCTTTAATCCCGGCAGAGACAGGCGGATCTCTGTGAGTTCAAGGCCAGCCTGGTCTACATAGTGAGTTCCAGGACAGCTGGGGCTACAGGGAAACCCTGTCTCAAAAAGACCAAAAAAAAAAAAAAAAAAATAGAAAAGGCATGTCTTTATTTATACCCTGAAAGAGAGAGAAGGAAAATAATGCTGTGGTCTTTACTGAACTCAACTGTCCATTGCTTTCAGGTACACAAACATTCCAGATGTATTCTGTGTTAGGTTTTACTTATTTCTTTATTTTATATGTATGAATGTTTCCCCTGCATTAAGTACACCATGTGAATGCAGTGCCCAGGGAGATCAGAAGAGGGTTCAGATCCCTTGGAACTGGAGTTACAGGTAGGTTTTGAACTGCCATGTGGGTGCTGGGAACCAAACCCAGGTCCTCTACAAGAGCAGTGCTCTTAACTGCTCAACCACTTCTCCAGCCTCCCCGACCCTTTAATTTTTTTTTCCCTGTGTTAGTTTTACTGTTGGCTGTGACCAAATACCTGACAAAACAACCTAAAGGAGGGGAGATTTATTTTCCTCCCAGATTCAGGTTTTCATCCATCCTGGTGGAAGGTGTAGGGCTATTCACATCATGACCAACAGGAGGCAGAATGAGCAGGAAGGGGCCAGAGCAAGAATCAGACCCCAAGGACAAGTTCCCAGTGGCCTGCTTCCTCTAACCCAGCCCCACCTTCCACAACTCCTCATCCCCTACCTAACCTCTGTTTGTATTCTGAATCCATGGCATATCAGGTTAGAGCCCTCACATCCTAATCTTCTCTGGAGAGGCCCTGTAAACAGAGGTGTGCATTACTGACCTCCTGAGTGTCTCTCAGGCCACTCAAGTCAACAGTCAAGATCAGTTGCCACATCTTCCCAATGACCTTGTAAAATGTCCATGTAAAAACATTTAAAAATACTAGCTGCTGTTTATTGAACAGGTAGCATTTGGGAGCCCTGAGTGAAAAGGTTTATAGTTGGGCGTGGAGACACACCTCTGTAGTCCCACCACTTGGGAGACGGAGGTGAGAGGATGATTTGAAGCCAGGGATTGGAGACCAGCCAGGGCAACAAAACAACAGCCTATCTTAAAGAAAAATAAAAGAGGCTTATGGTGAGTGTGGTGATGCATACCTTTATTCCTAGCTCAGGAGGCAAAGGCAGGCAGATCTCTGTGAAATTGAGGCCAGCCTAGTCTACAGGTCTACATAGCAAGTTCCAGGCTAGCTGGGGCTACAGGGAGACCCTTTCTCAAAAAACAAAACAAAAAAAGAGGTGTACACCCATTGCCTTTAAAAAAAATATTTTATTTATTATTTTTATTTTATGTGTATGAGTATATTGCCTGCATGTATGTGAGTGCACCCGTGTCATGCAATACCACGGAGGTCAGAAGAGGGCGTTGGATTCCCCTGGAACTCGAGTTAAGGACGATTTGTAGCCACCATGTGGGTGCTGGGAATCGAACCCAGGTCCTCTACAAGAGCAGTCAGTGCTCCTAACCACTGAGCCATCTCTCCAGCCCCGCATTGCCTTTTTCAGTCATCGTGGCAACCTCCTGAAACTCCTAACTTCCAGTTCCCAGCTCTCCAGCCACTTCCAGCTCCCCTTGCTTCATCCAGCCACACAGGTCCCTTTGTTGCTTGAACCCACAAAGCAGCTCCTGTCTCAGGGCCTTTCCACTTGCCATTCCTTCTACTACGTATCCAAATAAGCTTATTGGAATACTCCATTCTGGTCTATGGACACAGTCCTTGGCCCTCCTTCCTAACACAGCCTTCCCCACTTCTTTCAGCTTCCTTCTCACAGATGCCCCTCTCTTACTGCCTCCAGCCCAGCATCTTGAAGATTTGGTTTCTGGTGGGTTTATTTTCTGCCTTGGTGGTAAAAGCATTGATACCTTTAGACTATCACTCAGTGCTTATCGCAGTCCGACAACTGGTAAGCCTTCAGAGATCATTGTTGAGAAACATGAAGTCTCATTTTGTACAAGAGGAGACTGAGGCTTAGGATTCATTTTCTCACAGTTTCATAGCTTGAAAATAAGAGAGCCAGGAGCTGCATTCTGAGTGCAGAGCTCATGCATCGAATCATGTGTTCCTCAGCATCTGATCTTATGGGAGATGAGATACGTGAAAGTGGGCTCCTTCTGCAAGTGAGAGAGGGACACTAACAGTCATTATGGCCTTACCAGGACTGCTGCAGGTGGACTGGGATTCAGGGTCACTGTGGCCAGTCAGCATAAGTTACAGAGGGATTACAGACGTAATATGTCATTGTATATAAAGGATTACAAATGAATACGGCATTTGGAGGATTCGTGCATCAAATTGTGTCAATGGGAAGATGATATTAGAGGGCAGGAAGTCATTTCTGGCTTGAAGAGGTTACATGCTTATCATCTGGGTTGTGTCTGTTTCCATCTCTACATCCAAGAGAGATAAGTTAAAGCTGGATGTAGCTCAGTGGTGGAGCACTTGCCTAACATGTACAGGGCCTTAGGCTCAATTTTCAGTATCACATATACAGAGAGAGAGAGAGAAAGAGAGAGAGAGAGAATGAATTAGAGTGCATCCAAAGAAGAGTAAGAAAATGGCAAAGGTGTTGGAAATATAATTGATTTTTAAAATCAAAGGAATTATTCCTCCCATTGGAATAGAGAGGAGCCTCTTACAAATTGCCTAAAACCTGTGACAGGGCTGGTGAGGTGGCTCAGTGGGTAAGGCATTTGGCTGCTGAACCTGACAACCTGAGTTCAACCCCTAGAACTCATGTGGTAGAAGGAGAGAACTGACTCTCACAAGTTGTCCTCTGCCCTCCACATGTGTGCTGTCTCTCTTTCTCTCTTTCTCTCTCTCTCTCTCTCTCTCTCTCTCTCTCTCTCTCTCTCTCTCTCACACACACACACACACACACACACACA